TGGGCGTGCCTGAGGAGCTGCTATTCTCCAGGCTCTTGTTCGGTGATAAACAGAGTGTCTGCTGTGACAAAGAGATATTTGACGAATCCCTCAAGAAGGTTGTTGACATGGGTTTCGATCCGACAACCTCAAAGCTTGTCGATGCTCTTCACGCTTTTCGCAGTATGAGCGACGAAACGATGGAAGAAAAGGTAAACGTCTATAAAAGTTTAGGCTTTGATGAGGAAGATGTGTGGGCAATGTTCAAGAAGTGGCCAAAGTTTCTGTCATACTCGGAGGATAAGATAACTCGGAAGTTTGATACCCTGGATGAGTGTGGACTAGTCCAAGACCAGGTCTGGTCAGTGTTCAACAAGTTTCCGCAATGCATGGGTGTTTAAGAGAAGAAGATAGAGAACTCCGCTGCAATATTTGAAAGCCTAGGATTCAGCAACGATGACTTTGCGACAATGGTCACGCGCTATCCTTGGTTCCTTAATCTATCCCCATTCACGGTGGAGAAAAAGACTGAGTTTCTTGTGAAGGAGATGAATTGGCCAATACAGGCCCTGGTTTCCAACCCTCAGGTACTTGGATACAGCATGGAGAAGAGGATTGTACCAATGTGTAACGTAATCAAAGCTCTCATGACCAGAGGATTGATGGCTATCGTGTGTCTTGGTATGTGGTGATCAGGCGTTCTTAAACATGTATGTGAGGAAGTATGATGACAAGGAGTTGATGGCTATTTTCAGCGGTGTTGATCGTGTTGGTTCTTAAAGAGGCTCACTTGAATGAACTGTTGGTTTGTGATGTATATAGTGAAGAATAAAACAGAGCCGTTAATGGAGCTTAAAGTTGTGTTTGAATGATTCAATGTTAGAATAAGTCCTCACATAAAGAGGCTCACTTGAATGAAGCATTAACAGCTAATCTTAAGTTTTAAGTTTATCTTGAGTTTATTTTGGTCTTATCATAGCTAGTTAGTGTAGTATTAATAAGGAACGCTTGTGTTTCTTATTCGTTGGTTTTTTTTTGATTAATAAAAAAATAATTAAGAGCTATTTGGTCCCGAGTTTTCTTGTCTTGCGAGATCACAAACTTGGAGTTTGTTGATCATGGCGCTGTAACAGTTGCCAAAGAATAATTTGCAACTACAAAGAAAGTTCTGGACAAGTCAGGAGATAGTTCTTACTTCTTAGTCTTTCAAGTCAATATGTTGTAAATTAATTACGTTCAAAGTTTTATTGTACTGTTTTTTATTCTGGCTTCAAAAAGATCTCCATAATCTTATTTCTTCGCTTGTTATGTATCACGTGAAATCAAGATTTATTTTGAACTGATTTACTAAAACAGACCGGTTCAGGTCAGCAAAAATTAGCATGTAAAATATTATTAGCCTACAGATTTGTGTATCACCTAATTCTCGAAAAAACGAGACTCAAACAGATGTGTGTGTACCAAGTAACATTCTCGCGGGAAAGGAAAAATTAGATAAATTCTGGGCTTCAATCTTTGCTTCAAACTTATAGGCCCAGAAAGAGCCCAATATTTTGATAAAATCGAGTTATGTCACAAGGAAATATATAGGAATTTATATATAAGATTTTCTAAATAATACTCGCGTGTGGATAATTTTTTAGTATTATCATATTGATTGAAATTATATTTAAGCAGTTATATTTATTTAGATATTAATTTATGATAATAAAATTTATTAAAAATAATTTAGTTTTAATCTCAAAATTTATATATAGATTTTAAGGTTTCAACGATTTTGTTTGTATTTATATATATATCGTTTAAAAAAGATATTATTTTGTTGAACACTTAACATTTTGTATATCAAAATCAATCCAAAATATAACAAACTAATTAAATAGTACTTAGTTAGTATTAACACGAAGATAAATTACTATACATCACTTATTAGTAAAAAAAAAAAATTTTCATCAATTGCATCTTTGTTATATATGTTTTTATGAAAAAATAACAAAATTAAAATTATTCTCTTTCTTTAGCTAGTTTAGTCGATACACATTTCTGATTTATTCTAGATAAAAAAATAAACTAATAAACATAATTTTGTTTTCATATATTTTCAATAAATTAAATATAAAATAATATTTAAAACTTTCAAATCACAAAAATCGATGAATTCAAAATAAATTTTAATCAATTTTATCTTAAATTAGTAAATAGCAAACCTTTTGTTGAATAACATATTATGTGTGATAACTTCTAAATGATTTTTTTATTAAAAATCAAAAGGCAAAAATTTTCTTCTTAATTCATTGTTTAATGAATAAAAACTATACTTAATAACATTTAATTACCCTTTAATAAATTATTAAATTAATTTTTTAATATATATTAAAATAGATTTCACAAATTTAATGTCACTCTTAAATTATGTTTAAATCACCAATTATTTTCATATACTAATATAAACATATATGTTATTTTTATGTTTTAGTAAATATTATTTTAATTTATTTTATAATTTTAATTTGTATAAATATTTTTAAAATATTTTAATGCTTGTAGATGTATATTAAAAAAATAACAAAAAACAATAAGAAAATAATTAATTATTATTTAATATAAATAGTATTGACATGAAAAAAATCGTTAATGCAACAAATTTGCGTCTAAACCTAAAAAAATGGTTTTTTTTTTTCTTTCCTTTCCTTTCGGCGATTTTGTGAATCAACAGGAGAATTCGGATTTTGGTAAGTCAATCTTTGCTTGCACTCGATCTACGAACCACTTTTTAGAATTTCGAGATTTTCATCATCGAAGGCGAATCCCTTTTCACGAATATTGAATCAGATAGATCGCTCTAACACTGTGGTAATCGCATCTGGGGTGTCAATGTATTCTCTGATACTCCATGGAAAAAGATTGGTACCGGATTTGCAGAAATGGCCTAACTTGAGAGTTTCAGTGAAGCTTCTGCAAAAAACAGATCCTTTTTCAAGTCCCTTCTCCTCTGCAAGTGCTGCTTCTGCTGATGCGAGCCCTAGAGATGGTCAAAAAGGGAAGACTTTTACTGTCTCCTACCTCGTTGATTCATTCGGTCTTACTAAAAAAACTCGCAGAATCTATCTCGAGGAAAGTCAGCTCAGAGTCCAAGGGGAATCCAGTTTCTGTTCTGAATCTTCTTAGAAGTTATGGATTCACAGACTCTCAGATCTCCGACATCATCACGGATTATCCACCATTGCTTATGTTAGATGCTGAGAAAACTATTGGTCCTAAACTTCAGTTTCTGCAGTCCAGAGGAGCTTCAAGCTCTGAGCTCACCGAGATTCTTTCTAAAGTCCCTAAGATCTTGGGTATCAAAAAAGACAAAGCTTTCAGTGTATACTATGATTTCGTTAAAGAGGTTATAGAAGCGGATAAGAGTTCCAAGTTCAAAAAGTTAAGCCTTTCTTTGCCAGAAGGTAGTAAGCAAGAGAATAAACTCAGAAATGTATCGGCTTTGAGAGAACTTGGTGTGCCTCAGAAATTGTTGTTCCCCTTGCTCATCTCAAATTCCCCACATGTCTGTGGAAAAGAGAGATTTGATAAATCCCTCAAGAAGGTCGTTGAGATGGGTTTTGATCCCACCACACCAAAGTTTCTCGAAGCTCTACGCGTTGTTTACGAATCGAGTGACAAAACAATAAAAGAGAAAGTCAACGTCTTTAAAAGTTTAGGCTTTGATGAGGAAGATGTATGGGCAATGTTCAAGAAGCTGCCAAAGTTTCTGTCTTACTCGGAGGAAAAGATAGTGAGCACCACTGAAACATTTCTAGGCCTAGGACTCACTAGAGATGAGTCTGCGATGATGGTCAAGCGCTTTCCTCAGGTACTTGGATGTTCCGCAGAGACGGCGAAGAAGAAGACTGAGTTTTTGGTGAAGGAGATGAATTGGACACTAGAGGCTGTGGTTTCGCACCCTCAGGTATTTAACTACAGCATGGAGAAGAAGATTCTGGCAAGGTGTAACGTGATGAAAGCTCTCATGTCCAAAGGATTGCTCGGAAACAGAGTAAGCAAACTCCCTTCGATGGAATATGTTTTGAAGAGTACCGATGAAGTGTTTTTACAAAGGTATGTGAGGAAGCACGAGGACAAGCAGTTGGTGACTGAGTTGATGGCTATCTTCACCGGAGATGGTGCTTCATAGCATCTTCAGGCTTCTCCGTCTTAGGAAATAATCTTAAATTCCTTTATAGTTGTATTGGAATATGGATCATCTATTGTTGATTAGCACGTTTGTTTGAAATTTGAAGAGGTAAAATCTAAAATAACTCTCTTTGCTTTTTTCATTGTTTGGTTGCTCATAGCATATTGGTTCCCTCTTGTAAAAATCAACACTGAATATGGTAAGTTCCTTTCATCTTTGAATGATTCAGAATCCATTCTCATAGAAGCTCTGCAGAAAAAGGTTCGGAAAACGTTTTTATTTGGGTTTGTGATTCTCATAGCTTTTTGGAGTGATGAATCCGGAAAAGCATTGGAGAGAGCTATTGATACAGAGCAGTCACCATTGACCATTGTTTCCTATGCACTTTTGATATGTAGGTTCATATTTCGTTCTGACAGTAACCAAATACAGATGTATGCAATCTATGGTATGCGTACATGATCAATAAGAAAACTCAATAACTAACTAATCTGGTTTTGCTCAGGTCCTTGTTTATTTGGTTAGTACTGAGTCCTTGAGATGATCATGTTGCTTATATACTTAAGTTATGGTACTAGTGTAGCTTCACATTAACCAGGTTACTTTTGGTATCCATACAGTGGTTGACATATTGGTCTATATATAATATGTGTGTGATATTGATGCTGTGATGTATCCACGTTGCCTTGGTGAACATCTCTTCATCACGTTGACTCTTAAGGCCAGCATATTGTTTATGAGTTATGATTGACATGTTCTTTAGTACTTGAAAAAAGAAATTTATTTGTTATTCTGATTCATATTTTATATTGGATTGTGGCACTTGGAGGGGCTGAACCTTGAAGAGTCCCTTGCAACACTTTGGTACTTCAACACTTTGGTGGATTTCCCTCAAACAGAAGATGACAAGTCGTCAACTCTTATTCGTGTTGCTCGGTGTTTTCGCCATTACACAACTCGTAATCTCTGAGGACCAAGAAGGTAATTTACATGAGTTCCTTACCATTTTGGTTGGTTGATTATCTTTTGTTCAGGATCATTAACATGGAAATTTTGTTTTTCTTTTAACAGGATTTATCAGCTTGGATTGTGGGTTATCCGCAGATGAGCCTCCTTATACCGATTCATCTAACAAATTAAGATTCTCCTCGGACGCCAAATTTGTTGAGGGTGGGAAAAGTGGTACAATCCAGAAACATTTGGAGGCAGACTATTTGAAGGCGTATACAACTCTAAGATACTTTCCTGATGGGATACGAAACTGCTATAACCTAAATGTCACGCAAGACACTCGCTATTTGGTCAGAGCTTCGTTCGTGTATGGAAACTACAATGGTCTGGACAGTCACCCAATTTTCGATCTGTATATAGGTAGGAGTTGGTGGGCAACAATATCTAATGATCTGGAAGACCCTAATAACAAATGGACATCACTGCAATCACTGGAAAGAGGATATGGTATGTCTGAAGAAATCATTCACACCGCAATATTTAACACTTTGCAGGTTTGTCTTGTTAAGACAGACGCAACAGTGCCATTCATTTCAGCCTTAGAACTTCGGCCATTGAGTGATAATGTTTATGCTACTCGAAACGGCTCCCTTAAGAGATTTGCCCGAGTCTATTTCAGCAATACTAATAGCTCTATACGGTAAGTTTGCCAATATGACTGAGCTTTATTTGCTGAAAATGGAGTGCAATTTGTATATCAGATAAATATTTTATCCTGTCAACCTATAGCTAGGAACTTTGGACTAACAGGTAAAGCCAATGCGGCCTTAATTAATTTCTCCAATATAACTGCAGAAGTAGATTTGCAAGAATATGTTATGCACGTCTTTTACTATAACGTTCCTTAGTTATATTATAAATAACTACGCAACAAGTATGGAAGCAAGCTAGGGCCCTTAACTTATAACAGATAATTTGGGTTATTGTTTAGCTCGCTCTGAACTTGTTATGGATTCCTGTTGTAGATGCCTTTATCGATTCCTCAGTTTATTTAGTTCTGGCTAATATGAGTTCTTGTCAGGTATCCTGACGATGTCCATGATCGTACGTGGATTCCATTCTACAGTGATGACATGACGATGATAAACAACAACAATGTCAGTATAGAAAACTCTAATCCTTTTGACCCGCCACAAGCTGCAATTAGGACGGCTGCCAGACCAACGAATGCAAGTTCACCTCTCATCCTTTTCTGGACTACTTCAGATTCAACAGACCAGTTCTACATCTACATTCACTTTCTTGAACTACAAGTGTTACGAGCCAATGAGGCTAGGATATTCGCTATTTTTTTCAATGGAAACATTACTTCTCAAGCTTATAGTCCTTCCAAGTCCATGATAGACACAGTATACAACAATGTACCTCTAAGCTGCAGTAATGATTCGATGTGCAGCTTGGAACTCAGAAAAACTCCCCGTTCAACTCTTCCACCTCTAATAAACGCCATTGAGATTTTCAGGGTACTTGAGATCATAGAAGCAGTAACAGATGAAAATGACGGTAAGCCAGCTAGCCTCTCTATACTCTTTCTTTTTTATTTATTTCATTTTATGCTGATTCCTCGCATTCGTTGAATTCTATTTCAGTCCTTGCGATTAAGAACATCCGAGCTGCATATGCATTAAGCAACGAGAGTAGAGATCCCTGCGTCCCTAAACCATCCCATTATCTCAATTGCAGCAACAGTATGGATACGTCTGAACCAATGAAAATCATTTCCCTGTACGTAGGTGTATTTTTTCACACAACTGATTCAATATAAAACAACATATATATATGGTCCTAATTGAAATTTATTTGAGCTTTGAAATGAGTTTCTCATCATCTAACCAGAAATTTATCTTCAAAAGGATTATCCGGTATCATATCACCTACCATTCAAAATCTGACCAAGCTTCAAGTGCTGTAAGTATTGCCTCTCCTATGTTGATTGATGGCAAAAACTGTTCTCTAAAGAATATAATATTTTCTGAAATTGCTAGGGACTTGTCAAGTAACAAGTTGACCGGAGGAGTGCCCGAATTTCTATTCCAAATGGCGTCCTTGTTGTTCATGTAAGTCTGTCACTCAAAAACATGTGTATACGCCAAATTTTTATTTTTGTCCAGATCCTGCTAATCTTGACGAAATTTTTCTCTTCAATAACAGAGACTTAAGCAATAATAGTTTAAGTGGTTTGGTACCGCAATATACAGGAAAGGAAGGGCTGGTCGTAATGTAAAGCTTTCTCTTGTAATTTCCTTCTGATTCTTATCCAAACCCTTCTTGTGTTATAAGTAACTCTAAATACGCTTGTGTATGTATGTAGCCTTCGGGGAAACCCAAACCTTTATAACATTTCTTCATCCAAAAAGAAATTCCCAGTAGCAGTTGTCGCGTCAGTTGCTTCCATCGTCATTTGCCTGGTTGTGCTTGTTGTCCTTTACATTGGCCTACGAAGAAAGTGGTCAAGTAGAGAGGGTAAGGTTTATGCAGAAAACTCATCAACCTAGAGACTTGATTAATTAGTAGTTAATACCATTAAAAGCTGTGTTGAGTTATTGCTTGCAGCTCTACGCCCATCAATCGAAACAGCAAAGAGAAGGTTCACTTATTCAGAGGTTATGGGAATGACAAATAATTTCCAGAAGATTCTTGGTGAAGGAGGGTTCGGGATCATCTATCACGGTCATCTAGACGATATCCAGCAAGTAGCTGTTAAAGTACTATCTCAATCATCATCTCAAGGATATAAGCAGTTCAAGGCTGAGGTATGTTTAATATATCTCCAAGTGATCTATCTTTTAAAATCATGTTTCAACGAGCTGTGATGTTTTGCATATGATCAAATTCGATATGTTGCTAGGTCGAACTATTAATGAGAGTTCATCATATAAACTTGGTAAACCTTGCTGGATATTGTGATGAAAGAGATCATTTGGCACTCGTCTATGAGTACATGGAAAATAGAGACTTAAAAGAGCATCTCTCAGGTTATAAATCCTAAAATCCGACCACTTAACTATATACTTATCATATCGTTTAGATGTTGATAATATTCCTGGTTAATACAGAAGGCTCCTCAATCTTGGACTGGCCATGTAGACTAAGAATAGCTGCAGAGGCTGCACTTGGTTTGTGCTTTTGTCAAAATCCATCTTCAACGATCACTCTAGAGCTGTGTCATATTCCCTTTAAGTTTAGAATTTCCACAAACTTTGTAACTAACTAATCATATTGCTCTGTAGGACTGGAATACTTGCATACCGGATGCAAACCGCCAATGATTCATAGAGATGTCAAAAGCACAAATATTTTGTTGAATGAAGACTTTCAGGCGAAACTTGGTGATTTTGGGCTTTCAAGATCCTTCCCTGTTGGGAGTGAAACTCATGTGTCGACAGTTGTTGTTGGAACTCCTGGATTCCTTGATCCTGAGTAAGCATTGTTAGTTTCATGTCATGAATTCCTCCAAAGCTTGTTATCTTCTTGTTTAGTTATCACAAAACTTCTACAAACCATATTTTCTTTTTTGCAGATATTTTCAAACACATCGGTTGTCCGAGAAGAGTGATGTCTATAGTTTCGGTATTGTATTATTAGAAGTCATCACAAACCAACTCGTGATTGATCAAACTCGTGAAAGGCCTCACATAGCAGAATGGGTGAGGTATATGCTCTCGACAGGAGATATAGAAAGTATAATGGACCCAAACCTCAAAGGGAGCTATGAGTCTAGCTCTGCCTGGAAAGCTCTTGAACTAGCAATGTCGTGTTGCATACCCTCTTCAGCAGAAAGACCAAACATGGCTCAAATTGTTCATGAACTAAACGAGTGTCTAATGTACGAGAACTCAAAAAGAGGAAAGAGTCAAGATGTGAGCTCGAAGACTCCCACTGAAGTGAGCACAAGCACCCAAATGGCTCCAATGGCACGTTAGCCTGTATTTGTTTTATCTACTTGTGATGGTATGGCAAAATGACTGCCTTCACCAGAGGTCATCTTTCATTAATCAGAAGGCCTGTCAAGGATTTTTTAGTTCCTCCTAGATGGTATTGCCCAAGCTACACGTTGGTTATTATATAATATTTTCTTTGTGTGTAAAATAAAATGAAATTCTAATTTACAACATTTTGGAAAAATATATGTTGGTTTGTGATTGTTATAGCTTTTTGGAGTAATGAATCCGGAAAAGCATTGGAGAGATCTATTTATACAGAGCAGTCACCATTGTTTCCCTCAAGAAGGTAGTTGAGATGGGTTTTGATCCGACATCCTCAAAGTTTGTCCGAGCCCTAACAGTTACTTACAGAATGAGTGACAAAGCAAGAGAAGAGAGAATCAGTATCTATGAAAGGCTTGGCTTTGATGTATGGCCGATTTTCAAGAAGTGGCCTTCCTGTTTGACTATCTCGGAGAAGAATATATTGAACTCCGTTGAAACTTTTCTAGGGCTAGGATTCACTAGAGATGAGTTCATGATGATGGTCAAGCATCTTCCTCCGTGCATTGGATTACCAGCAGAGACAGTGAAGAAGAAGACTGAGTTTTTGGTGAAGCACATGAATTGGCCACTAAAAGTTGTGGCTTCACACCCACAGGTACTTGGATACAACATGGAGAAGAGGATTATACCAAGGTGTAACGTAATCACAGCTCTCATGTCCAAAGGATTGCTCAGAAAGGGAATTGAACTCCCTTCAATGTCGTGTGTTTTTTCGAGTACCGATCAGACGTTTTTAAACATGTATGTGAGGAAGCATGACAAGCTGGTTCCGGAGTTGATGGCTGTCTTCAAGGGAGAACGTGTTTCATAGACCTGAAGGCACTCTTACAACAATTGAGAAAGGTCAAGGTTTGTTTATGTTTTCTGCTAGTTTTGGATGAATCTTTTGACAGTGACAAAGGCAAGCAAAAGATGAGCTTTTCTATTTATGTATCTCAGTAACCCCAATTTGTGCTTTTGTAATCTCAATTTGACTTTGATGATCTGACTGTGGGAATCCCTTTCATCTTTGAAGAATTCAGAATCCATTCTCATAAAATTTTGGAGAACAAAGTTTCAGAAAACGTTCTTATTTGGGTTTGTGATGAATCCGGAAAAGCATTGGAGACAACTATTGATACAGAGCAGTCACCATTGACCATTGTTTCCTATGCACTTTTGATATGTAGGTTCACATTTCGTTCTGACACTAACCAAATACAGATGTATGCAATCTATGGTATGCATACATGATCAATAACAAAACTCAATTACTAACTAGACCATACTAATCTGGTTTTCCTCAGGTCCTTGTTTATTTGAGATGATCATGTTGCTTATGTACTTAAGTTATGGTGTTAGTGTAGCTTCACATTATGATGTACTTTTGATATTGTTACATTTGTTAAATGTAAGGATCAATAGTTATATATAAACTGTTAACTGAAAAGCTGCATATATCTCACAATCTATCATTCGGATTAGAATATTCTCCATAATCCATAGTAACGTTTCTATTTCGTAGTGAAAAAGTTATAAACTCTGTCTTTAGCATTTTAGTCTTGAAAACACTTTCGTATCATATGCCAGAAACTTTCTACGAACACTTATCGATTTTTCGTTGTTGTTTCTTATGTGTTTTGGTTTCGTCATTTTTAAGTTATGTAGCTTCACATTTAGTTTTCACAGTAATCAGATTACATATGTACTTTTGGTAATGCCTACATGGGTTATACTTTTGGTACTTCAAAATTTTAAAATTAAAATTTAATATTTTTTACCTAAAACTTAAAATTATTGTCTCTTAACTCAATTTTTCGGAAATTGTTTTCACTTGTTTTTGATTTTTTTCTGGATTTTTTTTGAATTTTTCAGAATTTAATATAATTAATATTAATATTTTACTATTACAAAATTAAAAGATAACAAATTCTCTCTCCGTTAACTCGAGGTTGTTAAATAGATAAAATCTACCAAATTGATGTAAAAAGTAAAAAAGTATATGGGTTGAAGTTTTTTTAGTACAAAAATAGTTCGCATATTAAAAAACATAATCGAAGAAAAAACAAATTTTTTAATAAAATATACCAAAGAATCACAAAGTGTAATCGATTTTCTTCATCTTCTTCTTGTTTTGTGTTTTCAATTTTGATGATGCAGATTTGAAGAAGCAGAAGCTGAGGCAGACATCCTAGCTGTTGTGACACAGCTCTTTGAAGATGCAAGCTTCATTTTGCTAAAGAGATCTTTGGTGATGTGGCTATGCTGTTTGCTGAGCAGAGAGTACAAACAATTTTCCATTTTGATTGTTTGCCATCATCTGCTAGAATCAAATCTGCTAGAATCAAGACTGAATGAATTTTTTTTTTTATAATGAAACTTAATTTAGTAATTATGCAAATAATTATGCATGTAGATTAGAAAATACAGTATTTTATTACTTTAATATGAGTATCATCTTATATTTATTTTGTATTTGAAATATGCATATGGTTTAATGGGGTTTACCTAATGCTCTGTTAAACCAGAACTTCTTATATAATGTATAATAGTATATACATGTTAATGTTTTTTTGACTATATAGATTAGTGGCAAACAAATTTATGGATCGATCATATCAATTTTTTGCCTGGGTTCAACAATGGGCACTATCCCTTCTTAAAAAAAAACAATGGCCATTATTGTCCAGTACAATTATACTTAAACTCGTACCATCTCAAACATAGTCAAATTAGCAAATTAAATCACTTTCCATAAGTTTTTTTATTCCACGGATTTATTAGATAAGATCACTTCTTTTTCTTGTGAAGAAGAAGATTAAGTATCTAGTGAGTAAGATGAATTGGCCCACTACAGGCCGTCTGTGTTGCTTCACATTTCGTTTTGGTATGTGTACACATTGGTTAAATGTATAAATGATCAATCTCTCTCTATAAACTGTTTTTTTTCTCTCTATAAACTGTTGGATGAAAGCTGCATACATCTTGTTAATTCTGCCCCAAATAGACTCAGATCAAGACTCGGTTTATATGATTTAAGACTTGATTTTCGATATAATAAAGTAATTACTAAATGAAGATTATATAAATAACATAAGCGGATTGGTCGGTTAGGGGGAACAAAGTTTTTTTCCCAGCAGATAATTTTTTATTCTGTTGCTAATTTGCATTTGGTCACGACAAAGCGATTCTTTTCTCACTTTTCTTTATCTTTCTTTCCGTCTTATCGTACCTTGTGTTCTATTTAAATGCAAATATATATGATTAGAGAGTCTTCCACACATTTTATATAGCAAATAAGACTAATATTATTTATTGTTTAAGAAGATCATTCGAGTATATCACCTTGTGTATCATTGATTGTAGACTTTTTAAAGATGTGGAATGTGTTTGACAGGATTTTTTTTTTAAATACAATGAACATCACTGTAATTTGTTTGTTTTATTATTTAATGTAAAAACCTTTTTCTTTTTGAACAGCATTTAATGTAAAAACCTAAAGCCTTTAAAATCGTATACTAATGGCTTTATAAAAAATTATTGGCTATAGAATGTATCAATAAAATAATATTTTCCAACCTATCATCAAATACTAGGGTTGGAATTGTTATCCGGTATCCGATATCCGATTCGGTATCCGATCCTATCCGATCCGTAAAAACTGAATATCCGTGTAGTTCGAATCCGGATCCGGATATTGAAATTAAGTATTCGTTTATTTTGGATATGGATCCGGATAATAAAATATTTTGAAATCGGATATCCGTTATTCGTTTATTAAATATTTATTTATTTTTAATGATATTTATTCATTTTTAAAAATTAATTTTAGAATTGTTTTTGGTTTAGCTTCTTTACATATGATTGAAATTTATATTGTGTAATAATTTTTTTATTTTAGATTGTGAGACAAGAACTTAAAAATTGATAGCATATGGATATAAAGATAAATTAATTTTTCTATTACTATTTCCTCCTTTATTATGTAAACTTTTAAACTTTATATTATTTGAATACTACTTTTTATATTATTTGAATGCTACTTAAATGTTTTTTTAATTTTTGTTATTTGTAACTTACTATGATAATACATATTAATTATTTATGTTATTTCATTATAATTTTAAAAATTAAATTTTTTTTAAAATCAACAAAACCGGATATCTGATCGGATATCTGTAAATATTCGGTTCAAACCAGATATCCGAAGACTGGATATCCGAAGTTTTCAGATCCGGATCCGGATAATAAAACTGATTATCCAGTGAATCCGGATACGGATCTGGATACTTTAAAAAGTCTGGATATCCGGCCCCGTTCCAGGTCTATTAAATATTACTAGTCTACTATGTACCTTGCTTTATACCATGTCATAATATGATGTACATCTGTATGCTACGGTACAAATTTGCTGAGAAGAAACAATTAAACAGATAAAATATGAAAAAAAAAAACTCAAAATGCTGACAAAAAAATATGAAAACTCAAAAAGAAATTCAAAACTATAGCGCAAAAGACAAAAAGCCCAAATAAGAAAACAAAGAAAAAAGAAGAAAAATTTAAAGAAAAAAAAAGTACTGACAAAAAGCCCAGAAATATCCTTCATTACGACTCTCTCCCCTCACGCCTCCCCAAATAAAGAGAGCAAACCAAAAACTCTATTTTATTAAATAAAATAATTAAAATAATAATATTAAATGAATAACATAAAAAGAATTAAATTCCTCTCCACAAACTTCTGTAACATCCGTTTCAGCTACAGCTTCAATCGAAGAAGACGAAGCAAGAGCCGTCACACTTTTTGAGGAGTTTGATTTTTTTTTTCCCAATTCTCCTTGCGGTTTTACAGTAACACTCGCCGGAGATTATGGCTCGGCCTTCTTCGGCGTCTTCAACGGCGAAGCTTCCTTCAATCAAACCAGAGGATTACGCTCACAGTCCCGTTCACTACGTCGTCGTTTCGGGAGATCACGCCGCACTCACTCGTCTTCTCTCCTCCTTGCCGAAGCTAGGAGATCCAGAGCAGATCCGAACCGAATCCGACTCACTGAGCCAGGAACGAGTCGCGGATCAGATCTCCGCCGTGCTTGACCGCCGCGACGTTCCTTTCCGTGAAACGCCTCTTCATCTCGCGGTTCGACTCAACGACGTGTTCGCCGCGAGGGCGATTTCCTCCGCCGGCGCAGACATTTCGCTCCACAACGCCGCCGGATGGAATCCGTTGCAGGAGGCGTTTTGTCGCCGGAATTCTGAGGTTATGAAAGTGCTTCTGAGGCATCACCACCGTTTGGCGTGGTTCAAATGGCGGCGGCGGTTACCGCGATTGATAGCTGTTCTCCGTCGTATGCGAGATTTTTACATGGAGATCTCTTTCCACTTCGAGAGCTCGGTGATTCCGTTCGTCGGAAAAATCGCTCCCTCTGATACTTACAAGATCTGGAAACGCGACGGAAACCTCCGCGCCGACACTACCTTGGCTGGATTCGACGGATTGAAAATCCAGCGTGCGGATCAAAGCTTTCTTTTCCTTGGTGACGGTGACGAGTCTTTAGATATCTCTCCTGGTTCACTCCTTGTACTGAATCGAGACGACCGGAAAATTCTCGACGCCTTTGAGAGTGCCGGAGCTCCGATTAGCGACTCTGATATCGCAGGGTTCTGTTCTCAGTCAAGCTTATACCGTCCGGGAATGGATGTAACTAAAGCAGAGCTCGTCGGACGAATGAATTGGCGACGGCAAGAGAAGATGGAAAGCGTCGGAGATTGGAAAGCTAGGGTTTACGAAATCCAGAAAGTTACTTTCAGTTTCAGATCCCGGAAAATCGTTAACGACAGCGATTTCGCCGGTAGCGAACAAGTTCAACCTCTAGAGCTAGACGAAGACGACGACGGTTTCCTAGTTGCAGAGAATCCGAGTTTCTTAGCTCCGCCTCCGCCAAGGCCACAGAGACGACACAGTAGCTTCGTCAAAGAAGATAGAGATTGGATTTCTGTGGGGAGAAAAAGCGTCGATGTTTATCCATCCGCCGCACCACCACCGCAATTCCAACCACCGAGAAGATCAGTAGCTCAAATCCAGCCACCGAGAAGATCAGTAGCTCAAGTCCAGCCGCCGAGAAGGTCAGTGGCTGTACCTTTAACGGTGTCTCCGGTGAATCCTCCTCAGATCAAAGAGAAAGAATTCGTGAAGAGCTTGCATCCATCTGTTTGGTTAACGGAGCAATTCCCGTTAAAGACGGAGGAGCTGCTTCCGTTACTCGACATTTTAGCCAATAAGGTCAAAGCCGTCGCGAGAATGCGTGAGCTCCTCACCACTAAGTTCCCGCCGGGAACTTTTCCAGTCAAGGTACACCTATATGGCAATTTCGTAAATAAATTTAATTACGAAATTGCTTTTTTTAAATCAATTAAATTGCTTTTTTTCGTTTGTTACTCTTTTTGGGCTCGAATTAAGCTGAAAACATTAAGACCGTTAAGCCTAATGTGACGTGTCATACTCTCATTGGGTAGTCTGATAAACGTTATGACTAAGCCACGTCAATAGGATGGGTCAAGGGGAACCAAAAGATTTATATTTATCTTTTGGGACCCTTTGTTTTTGCTTCTTTAGATCTCTTTAATTTTCTTGGGAAATTGTGCTTTTAAGTCCAAGTCAAGATCTTTAGATGATGTTTTATTTTTCTGATAAACAAAATCTTTTTTTTTGTGGGATCCAGCTGTCTATTCCGGTGGTCCCTACGGTCAAAGTAGTAATCACATTCACCAAGTTCGTCGATCTACCACCGGCGGAGCAATTCTACACACCACTCTCAAGCCCGAGATTCCTCTCCGGTGAAGAGCAATCCGATGACGACGAAAAATCCAACGGTCGAAATTCAATCTCGCAGCCATCTTCGTGGCTGAGACGCACCGCTAAATGCTCGCAGCGGCGGATAGAGGAGGAGCAACAAACACCGGACCCATTTGCTATACCAATTGGGTATAAGTGGACGAGCATGAGTAATAGTAATAGTAAAATGAAGAGATCAAAGTCTACCAAGAGATCTAAGTGAAAACAAAAAGACTTGAGTGTCTTTTATTGTAGATAATCTTGATATTAGTAATAGTAATCAATATAGAGAAATTATTGATGAACAATCTGGTTGTAGTTTTACCATACATTTTTTTGTATTTTTGAAATGGTTATATGATTCAAATGCTGTTCATTTTAAAAATCTTTTCCTTGGTCCATGGTCTAAAAGAGTTCAATAATAAAGGTATTAAATGGACGCACCAGCTAAAGTGAAAAGAAAAAAATGGACGAAAAAAAGAAAATCAACTATATGTGTTCATGCTTTTCTTATTTATTGACCAAAATTGGTTTACAAATTACGTTGTATTAACTTTTCTATATATGCCAAAATAATATTTTCCTCTTATAGCGAAAAAAAATCTTATTCGTTACACATTTGTTGTTGTAATTTTTCTGTAGTATTCTGTACTAAAGTTTGACCTAATAACTTTTGATAAAGCAATTATGAGTGTTCTGCTTTAGGTTACATAAGACGCAATTTAGACGTTGGAAGTACATTCCATTCCAAGCTGGCATTTTGTTTATATTGATTTAAATAATTTGACCAAAAAGAAATCTTATCCTTGGTATAAAATTGAAAGACAGACAAAGCCTATAAATTACATAATTAGAGGTACTTGAAACTTGTAGTTGAAGTTAATAACATAAAACACGCTTAATTGATTTATATAGCTGACACTTAAAATTTTCACATGATTTATGTATAAACTAGAAAGAAAGTTTATTTTTTCTTTTTTTTCTCTCTGTCACATGGAATGGGACATAGTGAGATGTCTTAAATTACGCGACCTACATTTTATGCTTTAGGTATAAACAATACCTAAATATGCCAAAACAAACGTTTGCTTTGCAAGTCGGAAACGAACAAACTTTGAGATGTAGTTAAGTGCATCCAAAGAAAATCCAAGGAATTTAGTATGTAAAATATTTTACAAATTAAGAAATCTAAAGATCTAAACCCTGACAATAAAGGACAACTTAAATAATAATTCTTTCATAAAATAAAGAACACATCTACTATTACTCTTAATAGTCTCCATTCTCCGCATTATCACTCATTTTGCTTAATCAAAATCGTCTTTCTTCTCCAAAGAAGACCTCTCAACACATTACAGGTATATACATATATTTTTTTTTCTTTTTTAATTACTTTACTTATGAATATCATTCATTTTCAGTCAATACCCGTTTTACGATTAATGGAAACAAAATAACTAGTAATATATATCTGTTTCTATTACTTTTCTTGGATTGATTGAAAAATTTGATATGATGTTAAACGAACGTTTTGGACTATGTAGTTTCCGAGAAGATATCGTAACATGACAAGTGAAGCACCAAGTTGGGCGGATCAATGGGGAACCGGAGGGATCGGGGAGATGCCGGAGAAAGAGAACACCAACGGTGCCGGCGGTAAGAATTCCGGCAAGACCAAATCGGGAATTAACAAAGCCAAAATTGTTGACTTCGTAAGTTGCAAGTGGATCAAGAACCTTGTGCACAAGAAGAAGAAGAAAGACTCTAATTCTTGAAATGAAAAGAAAAAGTCTTTGTACATTTTTACATTTTCTTCTCGATGTTCCTTGAAATATGTTTTTCTTCTGAAGATCTCAATCTATCATTGTATTTTTTTAATGCTTTATATGTGGAGTTTCATGTGAGTTAAATGGTGCATCCCACGATTGAAAGTTTTTTTTTTTTTGGTTTTATACTACATGGCTCAAATATTGGTCGATTTTGATAATATTTTTATTAGTAGGCTGCTTTTATAACTGTATTTATTTTCTTCCTCTAACTTTTATAATATCTCTCGAAAGTTTTTGTTATCACTTGTCCACAAATACCCAAACTGTGACCAGACAAAATGGTAGGAAATAAAATAATAGAGAGATGACATATGTTGTGCGTGTCCATAAGTAAAACCCAAACTATAGAAAGCAACATTTACATTATAATCAGTCCAAAGCAGCATAAAGAACTTCTCAAGATTCATAGTCATAAAGAGAAAACCATATATACATGAAACACCATAGGTATACTGATAAGTTGGCGATACCTTTAGCTTTCATAAGGAAGAAAAAGAGGATTTCTAGTAGAACTGCTAGAAGAGTGAAGATGAAGAGTCAAAGTGACTAAGGAAACTATACAGTATTCATATTCAGTCTTCTAGTCATCTCTTACCCGTTTCCTTGGCCATTTTCACTCTTTTTCTCCAATCTTCTCAGCTAATCTGCCAGAAACACCCTTCTTCACCCTTGATGAAAGCTGAAGGTACCGCCAATCCATCATAGACAGATTTAGACCAAACCAAAAGTGTTCTCTCCACTGTAAGTCATGTACAGAAACCCATCTTCATCTTTGTTCTCATCATAGATTGCAGACATCAATGCAGCTGCAAGAAAAACATTCAACAAAAGCGTTCATCTTTGTTTCGAATTTGCAGAGAAAAGTTAGTGCAAAATACCACCGGAATTTCATGAGAGCAAGGAAAAAATGAAGAAGCAGTTATATGCTAAGAGTTGTGACTTACCAGTTGGGGGCAATGTGTTCTTCACAAAGACAAAGATTGCCTTTTCGGCACTCAGCTTGATTCTTTTACGGACAACATACACGAATTGTCCCACAGTTAGCTCAGCAGGAACAAGGTACCTGACAAAGTCAAAAACAACCAAAAACAAAAGTCACAGATCAATCTCATTTCGGTTTCATACTACGAAAAGATATAGTTCTCAAGACAATGTTCTAAAGCACTCTTTTCTCCTTAGCTTTAGTATACAAAGAATGTGTAGAGTTCCTATGTTTCCAAAAAGGAAAGAACAGAAAAAGAAGAATCTCAATACTGACTTTTTCTTGTCGATATTTGGGACATCACTTCTCTCAGCTCTCTCTACAATCACCTGCAACATATAGTTTCTCTGTTAAAGAAGAAAGCTACATACACAGAGAAATACATCAATGTACAGAAAATGATTAAAAAGGCATTACTGGAACTCTGTCTGGATACTTCTCCCTGATACGAGAAGCTTCAATTTGTCTCCTTTCTGACATTACAAAACCCAAACGGATGATGAAAGAACACAATAATCAGGAGAAACCATTTGAAACATTACTGATTGATCAATCTTCTAAATCAAATTTCTCTATCAACGATCTTACAACCCAATCGAAATCTTACCCTTTTTTTTAGAAAGGGTTGAAATCTTACCCTTTTAATGGGTAACAAGATGGTTTATCAAAGATCCATAATTTCTAGTGATCACTAACAAAACCCATAAGATATTTTATGCATAGTTTGATGAAGAATTAAGAAAGCTAAAGATGACAACACATACCCAGTGGGTGTTCCAGCTTGAACGAGATATTAGCCATGGCGATTTAAGAGTCGAATTTCTGAAATCAGAACACCAAATCAATCAACACGACGAAATAACTATATGAATTGAAATCTGATAGTCTATTAGCAATCTCGCGAGATCGTATCATCGGAAAAACAATAGATTTAGGAGGAAAAAAACCCAACAAAAATAGGGAGAAGAACATACCGGATATTAGGGTTTTCTCGTTTCCCTGAAAATTGACTGATTTAGATCTCTACTAGAAAGGATCAAAGCTCGCTTACTTATAGAAAAGGAAACTCAATTAGGTTTTCAAGATTCCTAATCCCTGCGCGAAACTGAAAAGGCTGAAACTTTCGTAATTTAGTCATCACGACGTTATTATTTTTGCCATGTGTTCTATTGCATTACCGGAAACGTATACCGGATTATGGTTTAGAATACTTTCGGTTCTTTGATTATTACATACCGGAAACCTGAACCCTAAACGACACAATTTACTGTTGTAGATCAGAAAAGGCCGAAAATATAGCAATGATCGCCTAAAACCAGAACAGTGCTTCATATTATAAAAAAGCATTTGCCTTAGGCCACTAAATATATTTTTAATTTTAAGGTCACATTTTTTTTTTATAATTTTCTTCAATTATGTAAAATAAATGATTTTATTTGGTATGTATAATAGAAGAATATCATGTAGTTATATATCTTTGAGAGACAGCTAGAACAAATGAGTTATGATATTTAAAATTATATTTTGTCTAATAAAAACTATATTAATATACTAATAATAAATAAACTATAAATAAATTTCAAATTTAAATAAAATAAAATAATAATATATTTTAAAATGATGCCTTCAAGAATTTTAACGCCATATTGTCCAATAATATATCCACATTTTCTATGAAAATAAAGAGTGGAAAATAACTCTTATTTATAATGCAACTTTTTCTTCTCATTTTTTTACTTGGTCGATGTGGAACAAAGTTTAATACATACTTTTAAAAAAATGATAGATATTTTTATTATTAAAAAAGGTTGTTTTTTGAGCCGCCCTAAATTATTTGCTTCATGGGCTTTAATCTAAAACGACCCTTACAATGATTCGTTAATTATTATATTACACGTTAATAAACCGAAAAATAAAATAAATAGAAAATAACAGAATATAAACAGAAAAAATAACAATTGTCAACAAAGAACAATAGGATCATTGAAGAAAATGAAAATTAAATTGAATCTTTGAAATTGAATATATATTTTTTGCTTTTCATGGTTAAATTAAAGGTTTAATTTTTCAAAACTAGAATTTAAGATTTTAGATTTAGTTCTAGAATTTATGGGGTTTTTTTTTAAAAAAAAAATAGGATTTAGTCTTTAGATTTAGATCATTTTTAATTTACAAAATATAAAAAAATAAGTGTAATATAGTGGCGGGCTATCAGTTGCATCACAAGTATCACGTGGGATCCCAAATCATAAATTTAAATGCAATTGATTATAAAATAAGTTATATAAACTACATATAAGGTAAAACTAAATTAAATTAAACTAACAACGGAACTCACTCATTTTCACGTTTCCACCTAACATGTATTGGACATATTTTTTCTTTATGCATGTGTATGTTGTATTTTGCCAATTCTAACACGAATTCTGCTATACATATTTTGCTCACAAAGAAACCCATCACAAAACAACAGTAGTTTTTACCATGGTAAATTTGAGTTAGACTTTTTGATTAAATATTTAATTACAAATTTGTGATGCATTTGCAAAGAAATTTAACTTCTCGCCTTACTTTTCGTTTAATTCTATACAACATGATGGTAATGATTTGGTCAAAAAAAAAAAAAACATGATGGTAATGGTATCATGAGATTTTCCCACCTATAGTGCATCACTATGATTTGTTTTTTGGTCTGATATATCTTCTATCTAAAAGAGCACGTATATAATTTAGTTCATTTTTTTCTTCGCGACTTTTATAAATCAGAACTAGCTACTAATCATCATGAAATTCGTACTAGTGGTTCAATGTAAGTTATGTGGGCAATGAGCTCATATAAGTACTTTGTTTTAATAAAGACATATATATATATATATATATATGTATATTAAATTGTGTAAAGAAAACTTTGTGCTATAATTATGTTTTTTTTTTCAAATTTAATACAACCAACTTCCTTTTTGTTGTGGGGTTGTTGGCCTAATTCAATGCTTGTTTTTTCTTTTGGCCTCTCTTCATCACCTCTTCGTATTTATATCTTCGTTCACGCTGCAGACCCAAAAAAAAAACATTGAAATAGCTCATATTGTCTTTTCTCCTTTTCCATATCTACAAAATACAAGAAGAAGAAAACAGTAATTTATAAATCGGTTTGATGGTAAGTATCTTCTATCGCAAGGCACGTTTTCAATTTCGTTTTTCAATCATTTAATCTACTTTCTTTGATTTCTTTTGGTTTGGTTTTGATGTGGAGTATGAGATCATAAGTAGCCGATGAGAGGGTTTATTAAGTGATGCAAAGTGGCAATACGAGATATTGGTGCGGTTCAATCCAAAAACCGCACTCCCTTTTTTGTAGAGATCGGTTTGTTTGATTGAGCCGTGCCAATATCACGCGTTTAATAAAACCTTCATCTTAGCTGCTGGTTTTCAAGGTATATATCGATTCTCCATGTTGTTAATTTTATATATCTTTTGAAGCATATTTTTGCATTTGCAGTCTTGCAGTTAAGGTGTATTGATATCCATCGTCGAGGATCATGGTCTTTCTTATGTTATGTTTCTATATAATGTAATAAATCAAAGGCATCGTCACGCTCTTTCTTATGTTTTTTTTTTTTTATATGATCACGCTCTTTCTTATGTTATGTTTCTATTTAATGTAATAAATCATTTTTCTAAAAGACAATGTCGTAAATATTTTTTTTTTAAAGTTTTTTTAAGATTCATGTTTCTGTCTTCTGCAGTCTCTGGAAACTAGTAAGAGGGAAGAAAAGAAAGTCAGATACATTTGCGAGAAAATATCACTATATCAGACCACGATTTAAAAAAAAAATGTACCAAAAATGTGATTAAAGGGAATGTTTTTTTATTATTATTGTCACTCATTAATGCAAAGATTGCGTTTATACCGTTAGAATACACACAAAACATTATATCCATTGCACTTTAGGAAAAAAAAAATCCATTTAACCATTGCAAAATTCTTAATCTAAACTTTGCTTTAATACCGCTACAAAGAATAGTGACATATGGTTTCTTAGTCAACATATAATTTATCGGTTAATTAAGAACTATATATAAGCACTATACACATTTATACTATTAAAAGAGAAAAGTATTTTGTGTCCAAACAAAATTTTTACTTAATTTTCTACTATTCTGTTTTTGGATAACTGTTATTTCTATTGCCAAACAAAAATATTAATTTTAATTTATATTTATCAATTAAATTAATTTAATATAATATTAATAAAATAATGTATTTTTAATTCCTATTTTAATATAAATTCAAAATTTTATTTTTTAATTTAGATTTATTATAGATTTCCTTAAATATAGGTTATATTATCAAAAATTATAAAATAAGTTATTATTATATCTTTACAAAAATAATAATCTAGATATTAATTTAGATTTAATTTAAATATTCAAATATAAATAATATTTTCAATAACAGAGATGAAAATGATATATTATTATATATTTATTAAATAAGTCTAAAATTTAATATTTAAACTTAATAAATATTTAAAATATATAAATAATATGAATATTTAAACTTAATAAATATTTAAAATATACAAATGATATGAACAAAAATATTATATGTTTTAATAATTTCGGTTCTTTTTAGATTAATATAAATGAGCATGTTATAATGACGTCTTTTAATTGTGGTGTTTTCAGATTAATATAAACGGATGGGTTAGAATAATATTTTCTAATTGCGGTCATATATAATACTAGATAAAAATAAATCAATAGAAACAAATTATATTCAAACAGAAAATTGTTTTTATCATTTATTAAAAAATTATATATAAACAAAAATAAAAACAAAAATTATATTAAATAAATAAAAAATAGTTTTCGGGCAGACGCAAGGGATAGAATCTAGTTTCACTTATAAACCTTGTGAAAATCACGAATTTTACTTTTTGATTACAGTGCTTAACAAATTTTTAATTGGTACACCAAATTGTATCACCAAAAATAATAGGTACTCCCTCTATTCCTAAATAGATATGATGTTTTAAGATTTAATGATATTTTATTACTCCTTCCGTTTCATAATAAGTGTCATTCTGACACATTTCACATAGATTAAGAAATTAATAAAATATACAAATATATCCCTAATTAATATACTTTTATAACATTTAATTACAAAGACTATTATCTTTAAATGAGGGGTAAAACAGGAAATAAGGGTAGAAAGTTACATTGAAAATGCAGAATGACACTCTTTTTGAAACAAAAAATGAAATCTAAAACGACACTTATTATGAAACGGAGGGAGTAGTAAATAAAAAAATACTTAATTTATATTGGTTACAAGAATATCAAATTTCTGAAATAGTATTGGAAAGTGGGAATAATGACTATACATTTTTGGAAATAGTAATAAAAAATAATTAGTAATTATTTATTGTTTTTTAATAAGTGTGAAAAATCCTAAAACATCAAGTATTCTAGAATAGAAGGATATTTATTTGAACCTTAACAAGGGACACTATGATATGTCCACCATTGTGAAAACGAGAAATGACCTGTAAATATCATCTCATTTTTCAGTAAATTTATAAAATCAATTAAACTAGACCTTTTTGTATAAGTAAAAAGCAAAACATTGATGCATCTTGAGCTTAAAACCAGCAAGCCGCACGTCTACTGTGCTGCATCCCACATATATGCGGGTAGATTTTCTTCTTTTTTTTTTTTGAATAATTTTTGTATATATCAAATTTATGTTACACTTTGAATAACATGAAATAAAATAAAAAGAATCAAAATCAACTCATCGATACATAACTGAGCATCATTACAACCACGCAACACTACTTTGAGAAACAAAAACCTTTTTAAGCCAACCGATGCTCTCTAGTAACACTTTAGGTAATAAGATATGCTCCACTATTCGTTTTGTTGGTTTCACGAACCAGTTTTCACTTTTCACAAAAGGAAAGAAGCCAAGAAATGATAAAGATTACCGAAGACTGAAACTTGTAGCAAGACCAAGCCTGAGGTATTATTAGATTCCGCTGTGCAAAGACCACTCTTAACACATTTTAGAGATAGAGACTTCATACTCTCTATGTATGGCCATGATTAACTTTTCACATTGGCATATCCTCTATATAAAAATGAGAAGGTTATTCTTATTTCAAAATATTGAAGTATAAACGGATGATAAAAAATGATTATTGCTAATAATTAGTAAGAACGACTTTTTGTTTTTAAAATATACATATTTTGCCAATATGTGCACAGATATGCAAAACCAAACAAAAACCTGCGAAGTGGCCGCATATCTTTTATTACATCTCACAGAATACCCACGAGTTTAGGACCAAACCCTTAAATTTTTGTCGAGACTGATTTAATGGAATATGTCCCTTACTGACAAAATCCATATAATACATATTGTCTAATAATAATTGATATAACTGATTTGAGACATTTTCAATTTTGTTAGTTTATCATTCTAATGAGTAAATGAATCTAATGGAAGATCCTGCAGCTCTCTTAATCTTGGAAGAGTAAGGGAACTATACAACCACGTTGTTATCGATCACCAATGAACAACAACGGTAAAATTTCCAAAATGAATAAATTTCAGAAAGTAACCATTAAGAAGAAAATGAATTGAGGAAAGTAAAAAGAAGCAGAAAGGGGAAAAGAGAATTTAATGAGAAAGAAAAGGAAAGCATGTGGAAATAAATGAATGGGCACAACAATAAGAGCTCTGTCTCTTATAGGACAAACCAAATGTAACAAAACAAATATGGCTTCTCTCTCTCTTTCCCTTCTTAAATTTCATTGCCTCCTCCATTAAAAGCACTTCCACTTTCCCTTTTCTTTTTTCCCCTATTTTCTTATTTTCTTACCTTCAAATTTTAAGTTTCTTTCAAAATAAAATAATAACTCCTTTACTCATTTGTTTCAAAATACGGAAACTGTACACAGAACCATAATGCAAATTAATAAACTACAGTTACATGATAAAATCTAATTAAAGAAACGAATATCAATGGTTTTATTTGCTAACATATATTATGTTTGTTATTTTATATCTTCTAACGGATGTAAATATGTGCTTGGCTATCACTTTTCTAATGAAACTCCAAATACAACATATATAACCTAAGAAACTCTTTTCATTGATGGCTCTGAGACCATCGGGGGTTTTAAGCGGGTTCAAGAATGAAGTTCATGAGTTTTTTTTATTAAATATAAATGAAGAAAGCCCAATATTCATGAAATTTAGTCTTTAAGAGGCGTTTATGCGTGACGTGTCCAAATTTGATTGGTTGGGTTTTGGGGAAATTTTTTTTCTCCACCTCCTCTCTTTTTCTCTCTCTTTCTCTTTTCTTTTCCTCTCTTCTTCAACTTTTTTTCTTTTTATATTTTCTCTTTCTTCTCAAAATTTTATTAATAAAAAATTTGAGATAAACCACATGAGGGTTCACGATTACTGATTACTGATGGATGCTCTGATGATTCCAAATTCTGATACCAAATATACCGTATTGGAATATGAATTTTAAGAGATTCTTTATTAATAAAGATAGATCAAATGTAAGAAATAAATTAGCATTCTCATTTCATTTCTCAAGTTAGAAATAAGTCTGTAACATGTCAATACCCTATGCAAACAAAAATGGTTTGCTATACTTTCAAGAAATCGGGACTCCATAACGCATCTTGGCGTTCACCGCAAAGTTGGTGAACTTCGAACATCCTCCCGAACGGTCGGCAAATTCCGCTGCATTGCCAGTCAAACGACGCCGCACACACATTTCCCGTCAGAGCATTCAATTGACAATCTGAAATTTCAAAAAAAGAAACAAAATATTCGATGTTTAGAAAATGATTAACCGAAAATTTGAACCATACCGGATTAAACCGGACAAAGGTTGTCAATATTCAGACAAAACAAGAGCTTTGCTTCTGTACCGGGAGGAGTTCCACAACAGAGTGTTTTGTCATCGACATGTTCTACATCCAATCCTATGAACCACGAACCTAACGAGACGTCTTCATTCGCATACTTGTGTAGCAAGTTCCTAAATCCAATCAAAACAAGACGAAAGTTTCAGAGATTTTTCTTGCGGCTCACAACTTCACAAGCTAGATAAGAACTTACTTACTGGTTTATCAAAATGTAAGTTGCTAGATCTTTAGAAATGGCATATAATTGTCCTGTGGCATGTCGGAAATAGTTGTTACCGGCCTCCCCAAACTTCCAATACTCCGGTTCATGGTACTTGACGTTTCTATTTTCACAGGTAAAGCTGAGAAATTTTAACTACTTATCTCACAAAATCATCTACAATATTGCATCTAACTTACTTTTTGGCTAGGACTGGTCCGGATTTCATACAACCTGCATAAACCCTAGGTTTCTTGCGGTGTTCTTTTAAAGTCATCGCGAGTGTTCCTGCAGCAGAATCAGAAAGATATTTAAGATTACCCAAACAAAGATTACTTCAAGATCATCAGTTGTATATATTGATATGAAGATATGATTGTTTACCAAGATTCACGTGAACATCATCGTCGACTTTGATGTAGAATTCTGCGTCCCATAAAGAAACAGCGGTTGCGAAATACGTCTTTGTCTTGGCTGATAATTTCATGTATCCCTCTGTGTGTTCCTGTTTCAAAAGAGCAAAACAAATCAAAGAAAGAAAGCTTGTTCGACAAGAAAGGTTTCAGGATATAGAAGAAGAAACAATAGTCCAATCAATTAGCCAAAAAACAAAAACAAAAAAACCCACCAGTCTCAAGAAATCCCCATGAATTTTCTCCTCAGCTTCAATAGATTTTTCAAGAATCCCACCAAGCGACGTACTAATGGAGAAATTCAAGAACATTATAATGAATTAAAGCCAAAATATCGCATATTGTTTGATAAAAACCTAACGATAAAATATGTACCTGTGACCTATAACAAAACGTACGATGATGCCCTTCTCTTCCTCGAGCTTTTTAAGCTTGTTCCCTAAACACCGAAAAAAATGTTTAAAGACTTGAGATTAAACATTCGAAATCAAGAAAACCGAACAAGCAGGTTTTATACCTTGTGGCATCCATGTTGCACGAACGGAGTCACGTCTCCTACGGCTACTAAAAGCAGTGTTGATCCCAACAACCATAAAGTATTTTCTTTTCTGAGTCTGTTTTGATATGTTAAACTTTCCCAACAAAGACTCGCGCTCAGATCTAGCAGCAACTAGCTTCATCTCTAAGCTTGAAATAGATTTATCCAAGATCCTGTTATCAAAGTTTTTACTCCAAGAAGTTAACATATGTAGCTTCGTGCCGGATTAAAATGGTAACTATCTGAATATGTTATAAACCTGATACTGTTGTTAGCACTAAAGTTACCAATATCACCAGATATTAGATTTAGTTGCGTATTCTCAAGCTTAGAGATTCTTGGTATGTCTTTAGCTTTGGGTATTGTCCATATCCTGTTACAATGATCATTAGCTAAATTCACATGTTTCACATACCAAAAATAAAACTTCACTTAGAAAAATAAAGATCAAAAGAAACATAAACCCCATCAAAAATGAAATTCAATAAATCAACTTGAACACTAATAACTAAAAGCAATATATATATATATATATATATATATAGACGCAAGAAATAACAATCAGAACAGTTATGATCAAGAAAAGAAGAAGTTGGATACCAGAAGTAAGAAGAAGCTTTATATAAGAATCATTGAGAGGACAATCAAAATGCCATGAAAAGGGTTTGTAAATTTAACCTATTAGTAAAGAACATTCCAAGGCAGAAGCTCGCGAGGCACAAGGACAATGCACAATTCCTTGATATGACATTTCTTGGAGAAAAATAGTAATCGCCAATACCTCCTCCTCTGCTCTTAAATGACATTTGGTATTGCTAATAAACCTTTTGTATTTATTAATCAAAGAAGATTTTACTGACAAGGGAATTTTTTATTGTTTTGGCTGAGTTTGATTTAATCTCTCTCTCTCTCTCTCTCTCTCTCTCTCTCTCTCTCTATCACTCTAGTCTCTATATACCTGCAAGAGATGCATAGAACAAGAACAGCTCACTTTTATCTCTCACCAACTGCTTCACTTTCATTCTTTTTCCCTGCAGGTTATAGAAATAAACAAAAGTTTTAACGTTTAAGAATGGCGTTTTCTATTAATTATGGAATTTGGAGTTACGAATATATCAAGACATCAAGAAACTGATGATTGTTAGGCTACAAACGTAATGAACGTAATGATTTTTCAGTTTCAAAAGCTCAGGAAAAAAAGAGTTTCTCAACTACAATTTGTTATTTTCCCAGTCAGATTCCAAATTCAACTGAGACTACGAAATGGGTTTCATACACTCATAAACAAAAGTTTTTCTTCTTCACCACACCACACTCATATATTTAGTGACCAGTTCATCTTCACCACAAACTCAATCTTCTTCTTCTTCACCGTCACTGCATGCGGAACATCCAAGGCACTGAGGAAAGCGCTTGACCATCATAACAGACTCGTCTCTGCTGAATCCTTCAAGAATATGCATCAAATCGCAAGGAAAATCTTCTAGAATTTCGATCGTTTACGACTTCAGTCACAGAGCTCAAATCCAAAACTTGGGGAGAAAGGAAACAATTTCTAAGGTTACTTCCGATTTAATTGGCTCAATTGGTTGACTATTTGTTTCCTACAAGTTAAAAAAAAAATTCCGGCTGCCGGGCTTCAAACCCGGATTTGAGAGACTCGAAGAGCCTCTTAGAGCATCCACAACGCTGTCTCTTAAGCGTCTCTAACAAAAATTTATTAATATAATAATTGAAATGGATTGGATAAAATGCAGAAACGTTTCTTCTCTGGGAATAATTAAAAACGTTTCTTCTGTCATCAACAAAAAAAACTCTTCCTTTCTCTTTCTTCTTTTTTCTCTTACCAATTTCTCTCTCCTTTTTTTCCTTTTTTAGTATTCCTCAAATTTAATAATATAAAAATTAACAAGAAACCTATTTTGCGTTTCAGCGTTGCGGATGCTCTTAGTCTGACAAATTAACCTTTGTGCTACAGCGGATCTAATTGCTAATAAATGAGTACAATTTAATTTATTGAAGAATTTCGATTGTTTACGACTTCAGTCACTTGCGGAACTCAAATCCAAAAGTTTGGAAAGAAAGGAAACGATTTCCAGGGTTTACTTCGAATTTAATTGGCTCAACAGGTTGACTATCTGTTTCGTACAAATTAAAAAAAAAAAGTTTTCCACTGCCGAGCTTTGAACCTGGATTTGAGACTCTCGAAGTGCCTCATAGTCTGGCAAATTAACCTTTGTGCTACAGTAGATCTAATTGCTAATAAATGAGTACAATTTAATTTATTCAAGAATTTCGATTGTTTACGACTTCAGTCACTTGCGGAGCTAAAATCCAAAACTTGGAGAGAAAGAAAACGATTTCTAAGATTTACTTCGGATTTAATTGGTTCAATTGGTTGACTATCTATTTCGTACAAATTAAAAAAAGGTATTCCGCTGCCGGAATTCGAATCCGGATTTGAGAGACTTGAAGAGTCTCATAGTCTGGCAAATTAACCTTTGTGCTACAGCGGATCTAATTGCTAATAAATGAGTACAATTTAGTTTATTCATTTCATGTAATTAAATGGGCTTTCACAACTCTTTACAGTCCTTTATTTACCTTAGAAATATTTTGGGCAGGAAAAATATTATACAATTTAATATTAGCAAATACTTTTTTTGTTAATTAAATAGCAAATAAAACTTAAAATTAAGTTTTATTAAGTAGTTTGGACTTTAAAGATTATTCTGAGATCTACAAACAGTTTTATAGTTTTTTGTTTTGAAAGTAACTTTTGTGCTACAACAGATCTTCATTACATGTAAATTTAAATGGCTTTCAAAACCTTTTAATTTATTTCATTTCTTCACCGAATTTTTTTTTTTTGAATTCTTTCCATTATTGCATTCAAGTTTAAACCACGATAATTCCAACAACAACCGCATTACATTCACTTGCAGACAAAATCCTAATAATTTTTTTGGCACATCCGTAACTGTTTTAGCCACTAATTCGCTACGAATTGTGTTCGTAGTTATTTTGTAGATAATTAGCCATGGATTTGCCAGCGAAATGCCACAAATATTAAGTTTTTTCTGATCCGTAGCTTTTTCGTGGTTTTTCCATAGCTAATTAGAAAAAGCTACGGAATATTCGTGGCAAACTCGTAGCTATAGGAAATTTTTTTAGTAGTGACAAACACAAACGAGTTTAGTATTTTAAATCTTCTTTTGGAAGCAATAGCAGTGTAGGTTGGATCCCTCAACGACCGCCCAACAGAGTGGAGGAATCTACTACTTATAATCGTTTTCCAAATTCTGTTTTCACCTTTGAACTTTTTTTTTGTGGCAAGGCTTTAATAGACTTGACAAGCTGTCTAGAGTGATTGGGTGTTCTTGATTTACTCATTTCATAGTGTAAAAATGCTATACTTTAGACATCCAGACATTGATTAAGGCAGGCAGATGATAATTGTCGAGTTTACTTTAACTTCCAGACATCAGATGTAATAGAAAAGAAGGTTGCATAAAGAAATAACACCAAAAGAGCTTCGTTTTCTCCTCCGAAGATATATAAAGAATTGTTTAGATAAGCTTTGCCCTTGATGTTTTATTTGGAAGTAAAAGAAACTTGAACATAAACATACACACATGCAATGCCCTCACACCGAATGAGAACAGAAGTTACACTTGGTAATTACATTTCATGAGGTTATTTTTAAACCTTCTTTTGGTTGCAATGGCTGTGTAGGTCTGATCCCTCAACAACTGCCCAACAGACTGGAGGACTCCCGTGAAAACGCAGGAGCCTTGAATCAAGAACAACAACACAACTTAACACAAGATTTTTCTTTCAACTTAAACTTTAATTATTGCTAGTAAATCTGTTAACACACCTTACAAGTTGTAACACGATTTAGAACAGACTCAAGACACACCCTGATCTGTCTCCCTAGCTCTCTCTGTTCTTCGATCGATACTTGATCTCAGAACTCTCCTAGAAAAACCCTTAACTCTTGATGCAGACTCTAACCTCTCAATCTCTCACCCTTATGCTAAGTGCTCTCTAGTAGTTGTGTTAAGCTTCTACAAGGCTTCAACACCTCTACTTATACCTAGTAGACTAAGCGGCTATACACGCCAAAAACCCTACACCACAGCTTCCATTTCTGTCATTTGATGCATATTTCCTATTTCCTTAAACTTTTGCTTGTTTAAGGAAATCTTCCATTTTTCCTGATCCGTTCAATTATTCCCATCCAACTTTGCTTTTTCTTCAAGACTTCCATTTCTTCTAGTCCAGCTCAGCTGCTCATCTGGCTCCTCGTTCCGAATGCTTCACTTGTCACGTACTCCATGCTTGTGGCAGTTCATTCTTCACTCCATCTGGTACAGCAACTACGTCAAGTACAGCTACACCTTCATCCCGTATTTTTTTTGGCAACAAGCACAGCATTCCAAATCTGTACCTAGGAACGGCACGTCCCCGCACTCGCCTAAGAACTCACGCTTAGCTATTGTAGCTCTTTCGTATACACAAACACATTCATACATGAATGAATATTCACATCCCTTTGAATGGAAGCTGGTCCGGGTCACTCGGATAATAAGGTAGACGTGTTTTGCTGCATAGGTAGTCTAAAGGGTAAAACAAAGTACTGTAGTCTTTCGATTTTAGACTATTATTACGTGCTTAAGTTTGAAAAGACACTAATCCAAACATATAGTGGTTAGGAAAATGTTGTGTTGGGATTAGTGTAGATTACCTGAAAAGGTAAATCTCTAGATCTTGCGGTTCCACGCACATCAACAATGGTTGGTCGAAGGGATATACTAAATTGTGATCCATTTACCATTGGAACAATCATGAGATCGATAAATTCCACGCAATTCTGGACTAACTCTTAATTATTGGTCAAGAAAAGATTGCTCCTTCCATTTTCTATTTGCCTTTTGATAAGAAGATAGGTTTAGAGATAGTATTAAGGGAATTGCTTTGTTTCTCCTCCCTCCATTTATAGTTTCCTCAAATACAAGTAAATCAAATAGCTCGTTTCTGTAAATCCATACAAATCTTTGCAACCCATACCTTCTCTAGTCAGAATTTTTTTTATTGTTTTGGCTGAATTTGATTCAATCTCCCTCTCTCCCTCTCTCATTCTAGTCTCTATATACCTGCAAGAGATGCATAGAACAAGAACTGCTCACTTTATCTCTCACCAACAAAAGTTAACGTTTGAGAATGGCGTTTTCTATTAGTTATGGAATTTGGAGTTACGAATACATCAAGACGTTAAGAAACTGATGATTGTTAGGCTACAAACGTAATGAAAAATTCAGTTTCAAGAGCTCAGGAAAAAAACAGAGTTTCACAACTACAATTTGTTATTTCCCCAGTCAGATTCCAAATTCAACTGAGACTACGAAATGGGGAGGAAGGAAACAAATTAACAAAAAATTCCGCTGCCGGGCTTCGAACCCGGATTCCAAGCATAATTGCAGAAATTAACCTTTGTGCTACAGCGGATCTGATTTCTAATAGGTAAGTACGATTTAAATTATTCATTTCATATCATTAAATGGGCCTTCACAACTCTTTACACAGCCCTTTATTTACCTTAGAAAAACTTCAGGCCAAAAGATTGCTCAACAAATTAACAGAAAGTTGTTAAATATTATGAGATTCTAGGGTTCAACAAATTTCTGGGCTAACCCTCAATTATTGGTCAAGAAAAGATTGCTCCTCCCAAATTTTCTATTTGCCTTTTGATGAGAGGACAGGTTAGAGATAGTATTAAGGGATTGCTAAACTCCCATAAAGA